CAGTTTCTCTTATTTACAACTCAAAACAAGTATAAAACACGTAGTCCTGACAAAGCTGACTTAATATTGCAACAATTTGGATCTTTTTTAATGTAGAGCATTTCTTGCATCAGACGTCGACCAAAACGGAGAAACCCCTGGGGAAAAGGGACCAACACATCCCTGAAATCGATTAATCGAAGGTCGAGAAAACTTTTCACCATTATAATAACAATAGTTGAAGTAATCGTGAACTTGCGTTACTTAAACTCTTCGTAAGAGGTTTATGTAAACTTTACAACAATTCTTAAAAAACTAGCCTTACTTGTGTGCAGTATGAAAGGCAATAAAAATCATAATTTGAAAATCAGGTGGAAAACAAATTAAAAAACTACAAACTCTAATATTTACGAACTTTGATCAAAAATGAATATATTCATATATTTTGCCTTCAATTAATTTAATTAATTTTTGAAAATTTAAAGACTTTCTTAAAAAGATCTAATAAATCACGTCCTATGTTTGCCCTTAGTAAAAACGCCAATCTTGTCAGAGTAATTTGACGGTTTAGGGATGCGATGTGAAAAATCCATTGTTGAAATTTCGCTTTGATAATTAAAAGTAAATGTATGGTGATTAGTGACCGTTAGTCGATGATTATTCCGAAATCGTGAAATGCGGTCAGGTGTGATGTAGGTTTCAGAAAAACATTTTCTTTATCGTGCCAACGTTTCGATCTTTCTTGAGATCATCTTCAGGGCCTGGGATTTACAAGCATTGTTTCAATTTAACAAATACATATAGAATGTGGAAAAAAGTGAATTTATATAATCCAAAAAAAATATTTTTTATATTCAATCAATTTATATTTATATTTCTGTGAGTGGAAATATAGAAATATAAATTGATTGAATATAAAAAATATTTTTTAGCATTGTATAAATTCACTTTTTTCCACATCCTACATGTATTTCTTAAATTGAAACAATGTTTGTAAATTCCAGGCCCTGAAGATGATCTCAATAAAGATCGAAACGTTGTCACGATAAAGAAAATAATTTTCTGAAACCTACATCACACCAGACCGCATCTCAAGATTTCGGAATAATCTTCAAAAGTAAACCAAGATATTTTACTGTAAAAAAATTATTTTCAACTTGAGTTTCAATATTGCTCCATATTCGTCTATTTTTCTATTGTGTAAGACGGAATTCTCCAGAAATTCGGGAGTTTCGCAAGGTTCTGTGTTTGGCCTGATTTGTTTTCTGTGTTCGCTGCTGTGAATGATCTAGCTGCATCTGTCAGAAATGACTTGGCGTATTTTGCAGATGACGCAGAAGACATTAAGCTCGATTAGCAGTGGTCTTTTTTAAATGGTAATAAAATCGTTGACGTGGTGTTTACATTGAAAAGTAATAAATTTGAAAACCATGAACAGCATGTTAAATATTTAGGTTTTTATTTAGATCACAAATTGTTGTGGATGAACTTACTTACCATCTCTCTAAAAAAACTCTCAAATCAATATATGTTATCAGAAAGCTAAAAGCTTAGTTAAATGTATATGGCTTATTAATAATGGCTTATTATGGAATTTTTTATTCATTGGTAACTTATGGTATTGGTTTATGGGAAAGTGCAAGCAATTCCAATAATATTCTTCTTTCACAAAAAAAAAAAAAATCCATAAAAATAGAATCTTACCTATTTATTCATTGTACATTTTTAAAGTTTTTGATGCACATTTGAAATTATCAAGTCTTAAAACTAATAGGGACAAACATAATTACTATCTGAGAGGCAATGACAACATATGTTACAAATTAGCCAGTCTTGAAAAAAAACCCGCCAAAAATATTGACGTGCTTGGTATTAAACTTTGTAATTTAATTACAAAAGAACTAAGCAATCATAAAAACTTCAAAAAATTAAAAGCGCTTTTTTAAGAAAAAACACTGTTCATTGTATAAGAATTTAAAACATGTTTTTCCTAAGTCTTCCTCACATATATATTTTATAACATAAATTGTTCAATACAAATAAAAAATAAACTAAATCAAACTAAATCTTTAACCTAACAAGCGGAGGGAACAGGAGGGGATCTAATAATATTAGATAAGTATCCGAGTGTTGTCTTTTAGAGCTAGAGCTGAATTTGTCAGTTTATATAGAAGAAGTTTATATAGAATAGTGAAAATCCGATATAGGTAAAACTAAGCATTCATTTAGGTCTCGAGATGAGATCACGAGGCCATAGACGATTCAGTCGGCCGCGGCGAAACAACGGTTGAATGGAGATTTAACCTAGCAATCAGAAAGAACCTATGAAAATGAAACTGTACCAGCAACAGTGACCTAATACTTGTGAGAAGAAAGATTGAGTCGATTGCACTGAACTAGAGAACAAGGAAGATACAATAAGCCAAAAGGCTGCAGTGCCTCGGGAGCACAAACCCCGCTTCCTAGTTTCATCATCATCATCATCATTCAGTCGGTATATCGGGAAGTATGGTTAAGGAAAGTTGGGTTACTAAGGGATTGAGATGACCACTGAGGGAGGAATTTGTTGTATTTGGAACATGGAAAACATAAGGGATGTTGCGGTCATGATGAAAGGTACGATCGGAAACATAGAAACATTTCCAATACAATGGAGGGTCTTCAACTGGAAGGATAACCTCATACAGAAAGTCATTGTCAGTTTGAGTTATGTGTTGTATTGAGTCCGGAAAATAAAGCAGGTTTATGGTTATAAAATAAAAACAATTAAATAAATGATTTTAAACATTTGGTATTGATTGATACTATCCATCACTCTCAATACATTTCACCCAAACTTCTTATACCCTCTGAATAGAATTTTGATTTTTTATTATTAATAAATTTTGTAACTACTTTTGATCGATTAATTTTTTATATTGTAAAAGGTCGTCCAGGTTTCTGAAAAAATGGCAGTTGTAGACGAGAGGTCTGGAGAATGTGAAGGGTGTGCGGAATCTCATAACCAAGATGCAACAGTTTTCATGTTGTCACATGTGAGACCTGGAGCCGAGCATTGTTGTGTTTTCCGATTTGCCAAAGACTACTTCAATAATGCCAATTTCTGGTACATTGCTTAAATATGAGAGCAATACGTTTCGGGATGATTGTTTCGCCAGGATTCAAAAAGCTGTAATGTCCAAATGAGGCCAACCAAAGAGTCACCATCACCTTTTTGGGGGCTTTGGTAAATGTGTTGCTGCTTCACCTTCGAGCCAGTCCAGAACGCCTGCTGGTATCGAAGAGAATCCACTTTTCATTACAAGTAACAATTTTAACCAGAAAAAGTTCGTGCGCAAACTTCGTAACTATGATTTTTTTGGCAGTTAATGCTTGAGGATCCCGATTTTCAGGCTTTCCCCCCCTTTTTAATTGATTTAAAGTGAACAGCGACGATCGATTTTCTAAGATGTGCCAGGATTTTCTTCAACCAAAGCTCGAATAACATCATCATCTAGGGAAGGAATCCTCCGACGACCTTCTTTGTCTTCAAGGCTAAGTCTCCCTTTTAAATTTTTTAAAACATCTCAGAACCGTGTTCTCAGTCACACTGCCATCGCCCATCGACTTACATAATGTTTCTGGCTGTTTGGGCACCATTTCGACCGAGTTTAAACTCGTAAAACGAAATTATTGGAAAATCACGCGTTGACATCTTTGTACAGACTGCTGAATAAATTTGTATTTTATTGTTGCGGGATGACTTAAATGTTAATGACTTAAAACTCACCTTACTGTATTTTTTGGACAGTTTATTTGAAAAAATAAATAAATAAATAAAACCCGTATTATTTTCCAGACAACCCAATAGATACGTCTTTTTTGTTGAGGGACGTATTAAATGTTAATGACTTAAAATTCACTTTACTGTATTTTTTTAAAGAAGTTTTTTGAAAGACAATATAAAAAACCCGTATTATTATTCCAGACAACTCAATAAATAAGTTTTTTTATTGTTGAGGAATGACTTAAATGTTAATGACTTAAAACTCACTTTACTGTATTTTTTTGGACAGTTTTTTGAAAAAAAATAATTAAAACCCGTATTATTTTCCAGACAACCCAATAGATTCGTATTTTATTGTTGCGGGATGACTTAAATGTTAATGACTTAAAATTCATTTTACTGTATATTTTTAGAAGTTGTTTGAAAGATAATATGAAAAACCCTTATTATTTTCCAGACAACCCATAAATAAGTCTTTTATTGTTGCGGGAGGAATTAAATGTTAATTACTTAAAATGCACTTTACTGTATTCTTTTGGACAGTATTTTGAAAAAAAAATTGAAACCCGTGTTATTTTCCAGACAACCCAACAAATTCGTATTTAATTGTTGAGGGATGACTTAAATGCTAATGACTTAAAATTCACTTTACTGTATTTTTCTTTGGACTTGTTAAATTGTTGACATTTTCAGTAAAAAAAATTAGAATGAACTTTTAACTATCTTTAGGGTACTAGGTTTATAAACAAACCTGCAGTTATCTCCTTATTAAGTTTTGATATTTGTCTGTTTTTGTAAATTTACATTTTTAGTTGTAAACAGTGGAACGCGAGTATTTCAAGGAAGCACAGAAATTTAAATATTTATTGCTCAACGTTTAGTCTGAAGAAAACAGGTTGTGTTTGCGGTTTGGTCGTCTCTTTCTGATTAATTTTAAAAGTGTTGTATGTGAAATAATTATTTCTAGGTGAGCAGAAGTGTTAATGTATGTGCCTATTATGCTTAATTATTGCCTATTATTTAGTATAGTTTTGACGTGCAACATTTGCAGTACATTTAGTATATTAGCTCATATATTTCTAGTCTGTTTTTTTGCTTTTTTAAGTTTCTATGTCAGATGTAAACATGTGTTAATAAGCGTGATAATTACGTTTTATCGATAGCAGAAGTGTTCTGTCGGATTAGTGATTAGGAAGATCGTGAGTGGAAATTCGCCGGGATTAGATTTAAATTGCGATTGCCGGCTCGGATTTGCGAAGGAGCGATTGCGCAAAAATGACTGAAACTGCCTTGGACAACCCACGGCTGACTCGTTCGTGTAACCGGCTTTTAAAAATCTGTGACAATTTGACCACGCCAGACTCCGCGGCTTTCTGGACCCGACGTAGCAGCAGGTGGAAGGGGGTCCCCCCAGTGCCGATTAGGATATCTCATGGCAAAGATAAGAACAGGCCACCCCGTGGCTTTCGTCTGTCGTTTGTGTCAGTTTTGGCTGAGATACCGGGCCGGCGAGTTTGGTTTTAAAAAGATGCCGATCCAAAACGGTGGAAAGCACGTGCTCGTCTGGGAACAGCCGGGCCTCGATGAAGAAGAAAGGGTGGTGAAGCCGAAAGGTATTTCCATTTATCATTCTATATTTTGTACAGTGGTGATGAGTGCATTAGGCCGATAAAATTTATCTTCTCCCTCTACGCAGATAATAACTCCAATCGTTCTAAAGACAGAGAATAAACAAACCGCATTTTCCGTGTTATTTGTACAAATGTCTATACTCCTATCTCCACAATTAAGTCGGTCGAGTGTTTGTCTCTAAATATTCCACATTTATAACAAACCCTTATTGAAACGAACCAGAAATTTATTTATTTCTCGCAATACATTCTGTGGTGTTCGTGAATAAATGTAAAAAAAAGAGATTGTATTAATTTTTATAATAGTTAAATCGTGTTAAATTAGGCATTTTCGTCCAACTATTCTTGCTGTTTTGGTCTGCCAGACACGTTTTGGCATTTCGCCATCTTCAGTTCTCAGGGTAATAAGCTGAGAAGATAGGTACACAAATAGATGTATAGATAGCAAAATGGAGTGAGGAAAGAGAGCGAGAGAGAGTGAGAGAGAGAGAGAGAGAGAGAGAGAGAGAGAGAAAATGAATGCATTTTATTTAGTAGAATTTTGTCATTCTTATATTCAACGACATTAAAGCAATTACTGTCATCCAGAAGAGTTAACGTCCAACTACCCGTTGGGTGTCGAGGACAAGGGATCAAACCACTTTAGAATACATTTTTCATATGTATTATATCAGAGAGATAAATGAGAATGTGGGAACGTAAGAGGGAGAGAAAAAAAGAGAAAGAGAGAGGATAGGAGAGAGATAGAGATAGTGAGTGGGAGAGGGAAAGCTAAAGAGCGAATGAGGGAGAAAGAATGTGAGGAGAGGACAGGAGAGAAAGAGAGAGAAAGAGAGAGGAGAGGGAGTGAGGGAGAGAAATGAAGGGAGGGAATGAGCGATTGAGAGAGGAAGAGAGCAAAGAGAAGACATGAGAGAAAGAGAGAGAGAGTGAAAGAAAATCAGTGAGAGTGAATGAGAGAAAGGAGAGAGAGAGAAAGAGAAAGAGAGAAAGAGGGAGGAAGAGAGCAAAGAGAAGACATGAGAGAAAGAGAGAGAGTGAAAGAAAGTCAGTGAGAGTGAATGAGAGAAAGTAGAGAGAGAAAGAGAAAGAGAAAGAGAAAGAGAGAAAGAGGGAGAGAGAGAGAATGAGGAAGTACATGGCCATTCAGTAAACACATACACGCCTTTCGCCCTCAAAGTGTGGTCTGGTCGTTTGCGTTCATTCTGGTGGCGTTTCGCCATCCTAATTGGTTATTAGGGTTATAAGTAGGGCGAGGCAATGATCTAGACGAGTTCTATACCCTGCAGACCCCGCGAGGAAATCTCAGAATCAATTATAATACAATAAACTTTGTGTAATATGATTTTTCCGAGAAATTTAATAGGTTTATTTCTACAAGTTGTCAAATGTCCAGATTATGATGGAAGTTTGTCATATCGGTTTAATCGCTGTTAAATCATGTTGACAATAATCACAGTATTTTTAGATACAAAAGGTTCGATTTTTCTATTTGAGCGATCTATAAAAGAAAACGGGGCAGGCCAAGTTGTCCAGGGAAGGTCAAACTTAACTTGATAATTGTTTTCACTTAAAGACTTGAAAATTTAAGATGGAATAAATATTGTTTACTACACATTCTCCCTGTATTCAAAAATTTAACGGTAAATTTAATTTTTTTCCCATTTCGAAATCCTTAAAATCTTTTGGGCAGATCTGGCAAAAAAGTAGGTGTTTATACAACGGTGATCAGGAAAAGTCAAATTTACAAGGCTTTACAATTATTATTTTCTCCTAAAGCTTCTTAGCTAATCTTCTATTGTTGTTAGACAAAAAAACCAAGAAAGATGCAGTAAGAAATTTTATAATCAAGACACATTTTTCTCAATGTTATGATCATAATTGTTTTGTTAATTCTGAACTACCTGAAACGTTTTGAGAATCTTTGGTCGAAAAAAGAAGTGAAGGATAAACGCAGCAAGAATATACGGACCAGAGTGCCCAGATAAAATGAAATTTTAGAAATTTTTTTTCACCAAATAACAAGGTTTGACATTTCTTGTTTTGAACCAAACATGCCCAAAAAATGAATCTTTCTGACTGCAATGATTTTAGATGCATCACGTGTCGTGAATCCTTGCAATCTCTAATATCTTTTTGAAGATATTGTTCATCAGTGTTTATTAAATGCCTTCCAATCTTATCTGAAATTAAAACCTTACTATTTCATTTGGCAAGCAAGTAGTTTGTTTTCAAGAAAGAGGTTTTTGATGGTTTATAAAAGCAAATGTAAAACTGGACTCGTTAGAATTTTTGAAGAATATTTCGCCTTCAGGAATAAAACCTTTGCTAAATAAGGAGAATCATATCTTCCTAATTTTTTTATTCATTAAAGCAAGAATGATTCTGTTTTCGGATATAGGAGCAAATAAAAAATTAACCTTTGGAAATCATTGATAATGCTACTTGATTATTCAAGATCAGTTCTTCATGATTGACCTATTCCTTGTAAAATTTCCATTGTTCCATTGTACAAATAGTATATCAGATTTGATAGGGCTCAAGCTAGATTTGTACTATTTAATCACAAAACGACAGTCAATCGATTCAAGGTTCCGAAAAACAGAACGATTTTCTACATTCGTGAATACTTTTCTACATTGTTATTCCATTAAAAAAATTAATAAAGGCCAACATTGATTCAATGCTTTCTTTTGCCGAAAGAAAATTATGCCCTCGACACAAAGCCGACGGAAAAGCTTTAATATTTCAAATAGGTCCGTTCAAAACTATTAAAATATTACACTAATATACTTAAAGAAATTAATTATGATGTATTTGCATAATTGATTATGTCAATGATGGTTACATGGTCCTATTAATACAAGAATTGCTTTCAATGAATGAATGAATAATGAATAAAAGCTTTATTTACACAAAGTATTTACATAACTTTACATTTCCAAAGAAAAAGCTAAATTGACAATGGCCTTAGCCGTCTGTCGAGTTGCTTTATCAATTTTGAATCTTGAATGAATCCCTATTTTTGTATCTTTAGAATTACCTTTGATTTTAAAAATTGAATTGGTCAACCAGGTATTTTCGGTACCGCAGGGCGTGAGTGAGGTACACCACAAGCTTCCTCCGGTTATCCCTTCCGTTGAGGATTGCAATGACTTCTTCTAGTACCTTTGGCGGAACTCTCTCAGAACGGGGCACACTCCCATGAAGTGGAGTGTGTCCTCCACATAAGGAGCAAATGATGGCGCGGTCCTGTCTACACGGTTGGCAGTTCAGCTGAAGTAATTCACCCCTCGTCCTCAAAACCAGAGACACCTCATAAGCTGTCATATCAGAGCACTCCGTGTAGTTCCGCCCTAAGTGAAAATCCAGTCTTGCGTACAAGTTGTGATGTAAGCTGTTTCTCGCGCAGGTTACCAGATCTTTCCTTTTACTCTCCTCTCATTTTTTTATCAGGTTCGTGATATTAGAGGACTTCAGTTCTTCCCTACTTATTCCTACACCGTACAGCCTACCTAACTCTGACAGCTGCTTGTGCCTTAATATGCCTTTATTTATTACTACGTCGGCCAAAACCTGCGTCAGTCTGTCAGGTGTGTGATTCAGTACTTTACTTATATATTTCAAATGCAAGCTCAAAGTGTGACTGTAGAGTGGTGTGACCGAGCACTCAATATATAGGATGTAGTCTGGGGTACTAGTTGGCAGGCAGAGCAGTTTCTTGATGAAGTATTTCTGTACATTTTCTATTTCCTTCAAGTATAAGTAACCCCAGACCTGCGCACCGTAATATGTTTTCTTTCATCATTGTTAATACTATACATTTAGACGACAGAATTGACCTCTTGGAGGTCCGAAGTCGTCGAATGTAATGTACAATATGCTACAAGTGCCTTTAATCAGTTCTCCAGGAATATAAGTGACGATAGTTTGTAGAAATCATGTTTTCTTTCATCATGGTATTGCTTTTTCTATTTAAATTTCGAGATAAGATGCATTGTTCAAACAATGTTAAAGGACACCAATCGTGTCTTTGTTAAATATATTTACAAAAAGATTTACGGAATAATCTCCATGACGAATGTACATTACAAAACAATTATAAATCTATACGAATTTCTAAAATTTATCATCTCTTTTGGTAAAAAGTAAAGAAAAAGATTCAAGGTTTCCGTACAAAATGGAAAATTAAGAATTGTTCTTGCTAATTGTAAACTGCCGATTTCTTTGCATATTTTAATATTTATGTTGCATGTAACGAGTCATCGTAAATTTTTCCTTTGTAGCCTTAGGTTTCTTCTGTGTAGGAGTGAATTCCGCTCCACCTTCGCCACTTTAATTTTTTTGTTGTCACTATTGACGCATTCGCCTTCGGATGTTTTAATATCTAAGTCTACACGAAAAATTCTACTTAAAAGTATCAATACGACCTTTAAAGTACATTTGACTACAGTTTTTATGTATGCGTACATAGGTGAAATTCCAAATTTCATATCTTCCTACTGAACATATTATCTTTTTATTTATTTTTTACAGTTTATTCGCACACGTGTAAAGTACTTAAAATAGTAAAAAAGCGGCAAGAACTGAACAAAGGAACTTTATAAATATGTGAGGAGGTCACACAGTGGCGAGCCCCTTAAAGAGCAAGTAAATATTGACGAATAAAGAAAAAAACTGACGTTTTATTTAATTCTTAAATTTCTTAGTCACCATGAGGGCCATCGGCATTTCAGTGGATTTGTGAAAAGGGATTGATGTTTTTTCTTATTGCCTTTCGATATTTCTGATACAAGGTCTCGGTGTACAAGGCACTTGATACATATGGTGGCTAACAATTTTTTAGGACTTTTTATTGGAATGTTTGGATTGGGACTTAGAATGCTTGGTTAACCTCCAAAGTTGGATACCGCAAGTCCAGACGGGTTTGAAAACTATGTTGTGTATATAAGCACTAGACATGGTTTTGAATTTTTCTGAAT